CTATTAAACATAGGAGCTTCAGATTTCTTTGGTTGTTTAACTCTGATCAGGGGTTATCCATCAGGTCCAACACCTACCCCCCCACACACACATAAAAAAGTCCCCCACCCAAACCACTACAATTTTGGGATGCATCTGGTAGCATGACATTTATTAGGAATAAAGAGTTATGGTGCATTTGTGCGTGCTGGGGTCATTATGTTACCACTATGYGGTATCTAGTTTATACTACTCAGACCTTATACTAATTTTTGTCTTCCATCAGATGTCTGATCTTGCTGTTTTTGTCTGTAGTGGCAACTGGACTGCCTTGCCTGCCTACTGAAGCTGATCTGCCAATTTGCTGTGGACCCTGCAGACCTGGACCTTGCCTTCCATGATGTCTTCTCCTGGTCTGGCCTCACAGACAACCAACGTAAACGGGCATGGCCTGGCAAGTCTCGCAAATCCACTGTAGAACATGGGAAGGGTCTTCACATCCCTCGCCTGACAGAGGTGAAAAATGTCACCAATTCTGTTGCAGAAACATTCCACCAACAGAAGCTCTGAATCCTGACCTGATGTRTTTTCACAGGTGTTTCTTGGTCTAGTCCAGGGCACCAACCTGATCCAGAGGCTTATCAACATGGCCTACACCTATGACAACCTTGCACACAGGTGTGCTGAACAGGGCAGAGATATTTTTATTGATTTAAAATCAACTTTATATGAAAGATTGTTTACATGTTTTATTTCAACTGTCCAGAGTTCTGAAGGCTCAGTCTGATCATAGGTCTCGGTATGAAGGTGAGAAATTCAAAATAATCCATTAACCATAAACACCTTAAATGTTAACCAGAAAGAGTCCTAGTTGTGTAAAGTGAATCTGTACAATGACAATGAAGTTTGTTTACTTGCAGTGACACACTACTCCATGTGGCTACTTGTTAGCTGGGCTCATTGTTCATCTGTAGTGAAGTCCAGCCTGACTGACACCGACCACCTCCACGACTGGCTGAAGAAACTCACCCTACTAGTGCCTGAGGTGAGCCATTTCCAATAGGAGTGTCCCAACACCAGTTTTTCTCAGAGTACTATTCAATTGTTTTCACTGAGTACTTACTGAGYAAGAACCTAAATATTACACAATGACTTAAAAATACATTCCTTTTATTTAGAATAAGTTGGCTGTCCTTTCGTATAGGCCTACAGGCCCTATGACATTATCAAATAATTACACTCACCGGCCACTTTATTAGGTACACCACGCTAGTAACGGGTTGGACCCCCTTTTGCCTTCAGAACTGCCTCAATTCTTCTTCCGGCCGGCTTATCCGCTATCAGGTGCGGCAGGGGGGCAGCAGGAGAGACCCCGCTCTCTCCGCAGCGACACTTTCCAGCTCGTCCTGGGGTACTCTGAGACGTTCCCAGACCAGAGGAAGTATATAATCCCTCCAGCGAGTCCTGGGTTTTCTCCAAAGTGCCAGACTTATTTTGAAAACATTTTAAAATGCTTCTTTCAAACCCGCATCTGAGG